GGATGGGGCAACCTGTTTGGGGGCTTGTAGAATCGGACCTCCTGGTCCAATGTTCTTGGAACTTGGTGGGTATCTTGGGGAGAGGCTCCAGCAGCTACCCTGCACGTTTGGAGCCTCTCCCTCAAACCACCTCCCCTCCAGCCCCCTAGAATATACCCTATGTTTTCGCCATTAACTTCAATGGCCCATAGAATATAATGGGGCCGAAATTGACATTCGGCTGGCTGAAAGACTCCCCAATCTCCTACAGCCGAAATTGACACGCAGGAGTCTTTTTGCCTGCCGAAATTGATTCTGCCTGATTTGGCCGCCAGCCCAGGATGGAGCCTGTGGGGCTGCTGACAGGTGGGGAAGTTGTGGGGCCTTGGTAGGAAGTCGGGGGGCGGGCCCCAGAATGCTTCAATGTAGCTACGGGCCTGTCTTCCACCACAGCATAAGCATCTTCACTGTGGCAGCCATTTTATGGCTTGCTCTGCCTCCTGTGGCAGGTGTTCTGTGGCAGCCATTTTGTGGCCGTGCCCACCATGCAGTGTCAGAATTTCCAAGGTGCCCATAGGTGCAAAGAGGCTGGGCACCCCTGTTCTAAATCTAGGCCTATCAGTTAACTTTTGGGATCCTCACTCAATAAGGAAAAATTGTTGCTTCAACTTATTGCTGGAGAACTTTTGAACCTTACTCTAGGTTCTTCAGTCATAAGATAGATATGTATGAACCTGTTCTGAGATCCTGATCCTAAACTCATGGGCCCAGATCCTAAAGAACTTGTGTGGAAGGGAAGCAGCTCACCCAGTGGTAGAGCATTCTGTGTGAGCAGAAGGTCTCAAGTTCAGTCCCTGGCATTAGCAGTTAATGGATCTTGGGTAACTGGTGCTGCCAGTCAAAACAGGCAATGTTAAGCTAGATGGGCTGGTGCACTGATTTGGTCAAAATAAGCTTTTATGCTCTAAATGAGTGGGTAGGTTGCTAATTGCTCTTTTCACTTGGCATCAAATGCCAGTCCTTATTCCCATCCCTGTCCCTTGCATCTCCAGTTAAAAAGATCAGCTAGTAGGGTAAGGAGAAAGACCTCCAACTAAGACCCTGCAGAGCTGTTACCAGTCTAAATAGACAGTACTCACCTGGATAGACCAGTGGTCTGATTCAGTATGAGGCCGCGTCATGTGTTTGGATCCCAGCCATTGGCTGCACTCCAGTAATTTGCACTCCAAGTGTAGCCAGAACTTCCTCTTGTTGGTTCTAGCCTCACTAGGTTCTTCTTAACTTTGAATTTGAAATAACAACACATTTACAACAGCAGACGTTTTTGAAACAAAGGAGCAGGACCTGCTTTACAAAGACAGTGATCTTTTGCATCAGTGTAAAGATGGAACATGAGATCTTGCGATTCAGTTCTTGTCAACAGTATATTGTATTGCCATATACTGCAGTACATTTCTTTTAAATGAGTATACAATTAAACTAAGTGAACTGAAGCACTTGGGGCTATAAGCTGGTCCTAAGAATTAGCAAAGAAGCTATTTAAGGGAGATCTTAAATCATAATAAGTACCCCCCAATTTGTTACACTAACAGCAAGTGAAGCAATAATATTAGAATGTGTTGAAGATGTGTTTTTTAAAAGAAAGACAGTGAAGAATGCTGGAATTTTAATCCTGTTTATTATCTCTTTGTTGAGTGTGTTTTTACATTTAAAAAAAAACCCTGCTCTAGTCCTTCTGTGGGTTTTCCCGAGGTACCCAATTTTGTCAGATCTCAGAAGCTAAGCAGGGGTTGGCCCTGGGTAGTACGTGGGTGGGAAACCATTGGGGAAGACCAGGGTCTCTATGGAGAGGCAGGCAGTGGAGAACCACCTTTGAACATCTCTTGCCTTGAAAACCGCACAGGGGTCGCTGCAAGTTGGCTGTGACTTGACAACACTTTCCACCACCAATCCTTCCCACCATGGCAGACTAAGAGTATAAAATGCTTTTAATTTTTTTTAAATTGCAAATGCCCAGGGTTAATGTTTGTTGCAGATATGACTTTCTGTTGCTAGCAGGCGTCTTTCTCCTTGACAGGTACACGAGGTGTACAAAATCTATGGATTTTCCGTCTTCCTGGGCTACATTTTGCATTTTGAGAATCCAGCTTTATTAGTCTCTCCACTGTTGAGCCTTGTTACTGCTGTACTGCTTGCAAAATGCCTCCAGGTAATAATATCTGGATTTCGTTTGTTAGCTGTTGGTCTGCCTTCACTCTGACGACACTGTCTAGCAGCACAGCGAATGGCTTGTGCCAATGACACAAGCGAGACAGGGATTTCTGTAAACTTTTTTTTGCGGAAGAGGGGCTAGTTAAGTATGCAGAAAAACTAAGCTAAAGGGGGTTCCCACAAAAATAATCTGGCCTGCTGAAGACTCTGTATTCTCCAGCAAGGCAAGGAAAAACTGAGAGCATAAATTGGCTGCTTTAGCGCCTGAGAGCTTATAGGATTCTGGAGGAAGAGGAGGTATTGGTGTGTGTGCGTGTGTGTGTGTGTGTGTTGGGGGGGGGAAACAAACTTCCAGTTCGTTTCTTATAGGCACGCCTTTTTTATTTATTTTTTTGCAGATGAATACCAAAAAAGGGACGCTTGTTTCAAGGATGCTGAAAGTGTTTTATTTTTATTTGGTATCCACAATAACAGTGACATTGAATCTTGTAGTGAAGGTAAGTTTGTGTAATTTAATGAAAGGTAATAAGGGCTGCATCTGATTGTCTTAGCTTAATTAGCCTTCTGCGGAGAGGGGACCCAGACCACCCTTCTGCATTTTGGTATTCTTCCCAGCAAAAGACAGAATGTACTAAACTGATGAACAAATAAGCTATTTTCCAAGGCAGTCAACCACCTTGGCAAAGCAAGAAAATTATATTCGTTTGGAACTGTGGACCGTAAATGGAATGAGCCCGTGGAACAGATGTCTCCCTTCTCCCTCTGCAGCCTTAAACTCTCCCCCCCCCGACCCACTCCTAAGAGCTCCTAACAATCAGGGGGGGGGAGGCGGCTCATGGTAACAGAGTAAGAAGTGGTGCAGGGGCTGCAGCAAAAGGGAGGAATTGGCAGAAATTACCCTGCCAGAATTTTGTTTTGTTTGCAGAACACCTTATACTAGAGGGCTGAGGGTGAGTTCTGTGATTTCCTCATGAGCCGTAGCTCCCCCCACCACCACAAATCCCATCCTGTTCCTGCAGGTTCCCTGACTCTCAGAAGCAGCGTGTCATTTACAGGATATTACCCATTAAAATTTAATATTTTCCAAGATCCTAATAACTGCTTCGGGGAGGATCTTATTCTGAATGTCCTTCTGTTAAGGGAAGCTGATGCAGCCTGGAGCTGGGCGTTCTCTGTCATTGTGTCTTCCTACCAAGGCCCTCAAGGTGTTTTCTCTTTTGTATCCATTCTACTGTTTAAATGACTCCTGATTGTTCCTGCTCTCTGCTGAGTTTTTTGCTCTGTGTGAGTTTTTTGCTCTGTGTTTTAATGTTTATCATGCCTATTTTGTTTTTTTTTATTATTAACATTACTGCTGTGGAAACTTTCCAAGTGTTTCCTAAGTAGGTGGTCCGCTGATACCTGTCTCTGAAATCAGGAAAAGTTATAAGAACCAAGGAGGTGCCCTGGTGGGATCAGATCAGTGGTCTGTCTACCCCAGTATCCTGATTCATGCAGTGACTAACCAGTTGCCATGGAAGACAATAAAAAGGGCATAAAAAGGGCATAGAGGCCAGCGCTATCCCCTAATGTTGCCTCCTAGAACCAGTATTATAGAGAGGCTGCAGATGCTTGTCCAATGCATTACTAAGTGTCTTTTATTGACAGAAGAGTGTGAATCTGTTGAAACTGGTGCTAACATAACTCCCATCTGTTTTCCAGACATTTGTTCCTCATAAAGAAAACGAGCATTTAATGAAAGTTCTTGAAATAAAATTGGGTTTAAACAAAACAAAGTAAGTTTAAAGTTATACTACTTTAAAAAAAAATTGTACGAGTTAGACAAAGACCACCATGCTGAGTCTGCCTGAGTGTTTCTGTCCTGCTTGGCAACATCTATTAAGGGCCTCCAACTTGATGCACTGAGACTGTTATACTACCGATGTGTGTTCGTTGGTATACAGCTTCCTATAAGCAGATCCCTGTGGACTGCAGTTTTTCAAAAGCCACAAAATATGGTATTTTAGCCACAAAACTGAGTTTCCTAACAATATGATCCTAAGAACGTTTTTCTGGGAGTAAGCCCACTGAATAGACCTGAGTAGGGTTGCTCTGTAACACCAGCTTATAAAAGTTGTCACTTATAAAAGTTGCCTACATGCTTACAGTGTCATCCTAAGCAGAGTTGAACCCTTCTAAATTCTTTGACGTCAGTGGCCTTAAAAGTGTGAAACTTTACTTAGGATGTATTTTAGGTATTTATTATAACTCACGTTTCTTCCCAGTGGGGACTCAGAGTAGTTTACAACCCCTCCTCTCTGGTCCTGTAAAGGTAGGTTAGGCTGAGAGTGTGAAGTCACCCAGCAAGCATCTGTGGCAGAGTGCGGATTTGAACCCAGCTCTCCCATGATCCTGCTCAGACGCTGTATCCATTACACCACACTGGCTCTCCATAGCTCTATTAAGCAGACCCCCGAAGAAGTCTCGGGACACAACTGCTGCCGAAAGGCCCTGCTTCAATGCCCTACATACCTCTGTATCCCTTTTCATGACTCATGGCAGCAGAACAAATTATGCAAAATAGTCATTGCAAAGCAGCTCTGGGAAGTGGGGGGGGTATGTGGAATCACTGAAATGTTTTTTATCTAGGGCTGCCAAGCCACGGCAGGGGATCCGCACGTCTTCACAGGATCCCTGCTGTGGGGGACAGCGATACACGTTGCACCGCCGTCGCCA